TTTCCAGAACTCTTGTTGCTCTGTGTTGTTCACCTTAAAGTGCTGCCTTGCTGTTTTACAGGATTGCTACAATCATGTCACAATAGGTTCTAATTTAACTAGTCCCTCCATATGGTAAGGCTAGGACTTTTGCTGCAAAGTATGTGGGGATCTATCTGCCATGACTGGGGAAAGGAAATGAAGCAAAATGCAACCCACACAGCTTCTTTGACATGGGTCAGCAAGAAGATAACCGTGTCTGGGCACTAATCTATGAATCTGCAATCCAAATAGGATATACCATTTTAGGGATGGGGATGGGGAAACTGTATTTTAGATATTTTGTGTATAATTGGCTTATGATATCAAGAACATAATTTTAGAATTGCTACCATCATTTTCAGGTTTTGAATTCCAAGGTGAAACTAGGTTCCACTTTGGGCATAGCCTATGAAGGAATTTCTAGATAAATTGATGGTGTTTTAGCATGATTTCCTAGGGTTCTGAATGATTTAAAAGGCAAAAACTGAGTTGATTTTTTTTCAGTTCATGTGTCATTCAAATGGAAGGAGAGCAGTTTTGCCAAAGTAGAACAAGTCAGGATCAAGTCATGTGACAAAGAAAACCCACCAAAGCCATTTCAGTCCCAAGAGCAAGAATGAAGGGAAAACCAAAAAATACTGCTTGCCTGAAGGCAGTGTCTGGTTTCCCTCATGTTTGGTTTGTGTAGAGGACCAGTGTGTGACTCTGGTCATGTTTTGCTTTTGCTGAAAGGTTCTTATTTTTATGTGGATGGGTTTAATACATTATAATCTGGCGGAATGTTCTTCTCATTGGCAGGCAGTCATTCAGAATAGTGCCACGTTCTTTGTGCTTTTCTTGTCTACATATTTCTACTTGCTTCCCCTGAAAATATATTTTCTTGGCTGTTGTGACATTTTTCAATTATTCTTATGAAGTGAGTTTCTGATTATAGCTGACTTTAAAAACAAACTGTCATGAAAGCTTTGAATGTCGTAAATCAGAGGAGTAATGTACACACATTACTGCTATAGATAGCGAACAAGAGAATGCATATGTTTGAATGCATATAACTATTCATTGCATTTGTCTTCTGATGGGCATGTCCCTTACTTTACATCATGGCTTGGACAACCCATGGCATTCCATGTGTTTTAGCTGAGAATTTCCATCATCTCTCACCATTGACTAAGCTTTCTAGATCTGATGAGACAAAAACTACAAGTTACCCCATCTAATGAGCAAAGCATCCTCATTAGCATGCTTTGATTTTTAGCAGATTTCCCCCCTCTTACTTCTTTGCTTATGATGTATAGACTTTCCCGTTCCCCCTACCCCCAATGGAAGATAATGAAGCAAGAAACATTTTTGGTTTCATGGAACAAAGTCAAAAAGCTAGCATAAATGATTTTGAAGGTACAGTGCCTTGGAGGTATATCGCCCTAACTTTTACTTTTTCACATTTTGCTGTTTTACAACCTGGAATTGATATAGATAGAATTGGCTTTCTAACCAATTGATGTATGCAAGATATCCTCTCCTGAAGGTGAAAAATATTTAATTGTGCCTTAAAAGTTAAGTAAGCAAACACAAACTGGCACTTGTTGCTTGCAAAAGTACCCCTCCCCAGTCAATACTTGGTAGAAGCACCATTGACAACAATTACAATTACAAATTCTCTTAGGTACATCTCTATCAGCTTTGTGCATCTGAATCCTGCAACGTTTGTCCAGTCTTCCTGGAAAAATTGTTCCAGGTTTGTCAGGTTGGATGGGGACTGTTCATAAACAGCAACTTCACAGTCTTGCTGCAAATTCTCAGTTGGATTGTGGTCTGGACGTTGAGTGGGCCAATCTGGACATTCAGGTTCTTGCTTCTAAACCACTCCAGAATTACTTGTCTGGGTGCTTAGCGTCATTGAATCTTTGCAGGTCACAGATCCCTTGAAGGCTGAAAGAGGTGTTCTTCTACAGCTGGCCTGCACTTGGCTATGGACAGCTTGCCCTTACTCCCAATCAGTTTCCCATTCCTTGCTGAGAAAAAGCATTCCCACAGCACAAAGTCCCACAGCATAAAGACCATGCTTCGTCTTTAGAAGGGTGTTCTCTGAGCAATGAACTCTGTTGGCCTTGCAGCACACATAGGTTAGGTTCACCTGTCATGATCTGCAATCCTGCATGGTTTCCACATTTAATGCATTTTGCAGAAATTTGCTGACAGACTATCAAATTCATCATAGTAACTCTTCTTCATCCTGCCATCTCCTTCCCTCTTAGCCTTCTGGCAGTATCCCAGGACACAGCATGGGGACTGGGGCACCTCTCTTTGAAAGCCATGATTGCAAAGGAAGTTTGGCTAACAGCAATTGACAAGTTGTCAGTCTAGTGCAAACCGGGCTCATGCCCTGAAGTGCAACAGAAAGGCCAAAGGAACCAATCAGATCCCCTCCATTCTTGCTCCAGAGAGGACCACTGGAGCAGGAGAGAGGGTGGCTGATCCACACTCAGCCAAAAGAAGGAGCTGGGCAGCACTGTGGAAAGAAGCTGTGCCCACGTCTGGCTGAGGGAAAACCCTCATGTGCACAAGTGGGAGGGACAAGTATCAGCTGGGCAGCATCACCTGGTAAGGGGCTGGGTGTCTCAGTGGATTCCCCTTCTACCTGTGCCAGAGGGAAGCCCCTGTGGCATGTGAGTGAGTGGGAGGGAGGGAGGAAAATTATCAGGGCAGTGGTGCCTTGTTGGTCACAGCACTGCTTAACTGATTCCCCACTCATCCCTTTTCCTCACTGCTGCTTGCCAGAAAGATAGCCCCAAGTGGCACTCACTTGACCGTCTTTCTGGCTGTGATATAGAGGGATGCATTCTGTGCGCTCAAGAAATGTCTTGCATTTCTTATGAAAAGGTGGGAATATCATGTGGGACTTGATGTATTCGCTTTGCTCTTTGCAAACCTATGGCTTCCTATGATTTTGGGAGGCATAGGACTGTGCCTTTCATAACATAAAAACACTTCACAGTGTAAGTGGAAACGAGGCCTAATGTTAAATGCCTGTAATCCTTTGAGTTTATTTCTTTCCCTCTGGGAAAAGCAGAAAAGGTATATGGATTGCTGTTATTCAGCAAAAGGGTTGCATAAGGAGAATATATATCACAAGACATAAAAATGTTCAGTTTCATGATTTTGCATCAAAGCCATTTCAAATGGCTTTTCCAATCTAACTCCTTATCTTAATGCACAGTGTACTGTACTTGAAACTCACATATCAATTGTTCATTCCTAATAAATAAAGATTCTTATTTTGCACCTCCAATCTTATTCCCTCTTTTCTTCTTTTTTGCAGATTTGGAAAATAGTATCTCTATTTGTTGCGTGCTTTTTGAATAGTTGAGGTTTTTAGCACCCAAATTCTACTTTACCCTTAACTATTCCACTTTTTGCTTTCAACAGATCTGTTAGAGCACAATCTTATGGGTGGGGGACCCAAACAACGGAACACTCTAATTTGAAAGGCTGCATTTAACTGAAATCAGCACAGTAAAGGGAACATAGAGGGCTTCTCTCCTCCACTTCCCATTGGTCATCCATAAAGGGAAAATCAGTTACGTCTCTGAACCCATCTAACTAGTCATTTGTGTTGGGGACATGATTGGAGGCTCTGATGGTTTTCTTCCTACTTTCCTCACTTTCATGAGTTGGAGACCCTAATTTTACACAGGAAGCCATGGGATGAACTTCCAAAGTGTTTTGAAGGAGCCAGGTGTGGGGTATTGGCATTTGGAAAGCAAATGAACAAAAATCTTGAAGCTCTGCCTACAGCCCTGGAGAATTTTGTTTGATGGCTGGCTGGTTTTCTGAACAATGCTGTGATGCTTGGAATGCTGCCTAACAACCATAGTATTAACTCTCTTTGTCTCTTTTGAATGATTCAAAACAGCTTATATCCCCTGGAAAAGCTGGAGACTTTAGTCAATTCATTAGTCCATTTATTAATCAATGCTGGGCTTTTAATGTCCTGGTATTTTTGATATTTTATATTTGTTGAAGTATTTAAAACACTAGATTCCCTAGATCATTCTGTTTTTCTCATATGAGGTAATCCATTGGAAGATTTGCTTTACTCATTAGACTGTGCAACACTGCATTTCCCATGCTTTTGAACCTTGATACTTTTCTCAGACATTTTGGCAATGTGTGCCACCAGATATTTGATGAGAATGCTCCCTATTCTTCTATCCATTACTTCAAAAATAGAGCAGATTGTGAATTCAAAATGGACCTGTTATGAACTGAACTGTCCCAAACACTTTTTCCTGTACACTGATAATTTCCCCTTTACTTCACCTGTTGACAGTTTTCCTATATTGTATTCTCTGGTTTATTCTTAGAGTATCAAAAGTAGAGGAACATAATGAAGACCATATTCTCCTTGTCCACTAAATCGGCTACTCTCAAAAGGAGAGGCTAGATTGGCTTAGCATGTCTTATTCTTAAGAAATCCATGCTGGCAGCTAGCAATTTCTGAGGCTACAAATAGATTGCTTTACAATTTGTTCTTACAATTTTCCAGGTATTGAAGTCAAACTAATGAGACTATAGTTCCCCAGGTTAGCCTGGCTTCAATACTCAGGAAATTGTTAGAACAAATTATAAAGCAATCAGTCTAGAAACACCTCAGAAAGGGGGGTGGCTTCAGTGCCAATGAGCCTAACCTTGCTTCAGTGCTTTCTCTGAAACTCATGTCAAAATTGAAGTGTCTGGTTGTGTATGCAGTGAAGAATAGAAACTGAGATGAAATTCAGAATAATATGATTGAGGATTAATATTTCAGTGCTTTTGAGCCTGCTGGATTTCCTTCTAGGATTTGCTGACGTCTTTCAACAATCTTGGATTACTATTCTGAAATCAAAAAGCTTTCAGGTTTTCCAGGGAGTAACAGAATGCTATATATTTATGGGTATCCATCCATCTACCTTTTTTTTTTTTTTTTGGTATTTGTACAGGTGACTGCTGGTGGAAGAGCGAATTATTATGTGTCTTACAAAAGGGACCCCTTCACTCAGATAAAATTGCCCAAATACTCACTACCAAAGGTAAATATGTAGTCTTGATATCTAGAAAAAACTTCAACAGAAAGAGAAGATTATATTTGTTTCTTACATTTCTAATCTTCTATAAAGGTATCCCCTTATTTATTAACTGACTATCCATTCATAAATTTGTGGCATGCTTACACAACTTGGGGATAACCAATCAAATACAATAGCCAACCTACTAACAAGAAGTATGAGAATCAATCTGTTTTTTTCTGTAGCAGGAAGTTTACCAAGCTTCTTCTTGTCCATCAAACGTGGCTGGTGAACTGCTTTTATCTTGGAGTGAAACAAATTGTGTTTTCTCATGTTGTGATTAAGCCTGATAGAGACTATTTCAGCATCAGTCTACTGAAGGGTATACAACTGGTTTAGTCAAAACTACTGTAAATGGAAATCAGCAGACCTTTTCTTAATTTTGTGCACCAGTAGCTGCACGAATAGTTGGTTTGGAACCATAAACTGTGATGGTGGTGCTGAACATCTGGTTCTGACAGTTGCTGGGACAGGATTGTGGTGAATTACACTTTCATGTGCTTAAAGCTATATATGTCCAATTCCAGAAGCATTTTGGTAGTGATCTTGAATGTAGATGAATCTAAAAAGATCTACATGATGGATGGATTCAAATCTGAGAGCCCCTTTCTTATTGTTGGAGCTGATTCTTTCTTATGGGAAGCCCAGATTCACAGTATTGCCTTGACTAGTTTGACAGCTATGTTTTCTGTATCCTCTGGGTGAAAGAAAACCCTTCGGGCTTTGAGGCTGTGAATCTTTGAGGAGCAATGAAATGTGCAATTGTATAAATATAAAATGAAGCAGGATGAATCACCTTCAAGGACTCTGGAATCTCTTTTTTTCCCTTCCCCTTTATCCACCCTTTAGCCATTTTAAAATAAAATAAAATAAAATAAAATAACCCATACAAATAAGGAAAGCCTGAACATGGTAATTTAGTGGCTTGGTCTAATGGAAAATTGTTTAACATCACTCATAACTCATGGTTCTTCCCTGCTGTGGCATAAGTCATAGTAATTGCTTTGTGTCCCAAAGGGCAAAGAAATATAAAGATCGGGGGTAATAAGCCTTTTATCTTCCTTAACAGGACATGCATATTATCAGCACAGATGAGAATCAGGTGTTTGCTGCAGTTCAGGAATGGAATCAAAACGATACATACAACCTTTACATCTCTGACACTCGAGGGGTCTACTTTACCCTGGCCTTGGAGAATGTCAAGAGCAACCGAGGACTTGAGGGAAATGTCATTATTGACCTTTATGAGGTATGGATCCACAGTGACCTTGAAGCAACCCCACCTCTTGTAAGGGTAAATGCTACTTCCTAGGAGGGTTTCTGAACTAATTAAAAGCAGCGTGGTCTATTAGCTTTCACAGGAATGGGTGGAAGGGAGATCTTTCTATATCTACTGATAGATTAGCAAGGATACCTGACTTCTCATTTTAACAATTGCAGCCACTTCTAAATCTTACCACCAAAATGCAAAAAGTTGAGGTAATTCCAATTCAATTTGTATGCAGAAAGATTGCAAGTTCTGTTCAGTTCCAATATGTGAAACAAATCCGAGGCTAAGGATTCTTTAATCCTAATTTAATTTTGTTTATGCATTTATTTTATTTATTCTTTGCACTGGGATCCAGTTTATGAATCTTGGGATATTAGGGGAGGAGAAAAGGATTAGACAAGCTTAAAATCTTCTGATTCCTGTATTGTTAGATTTTCCATGGAATTCTGGATTTAGAATTGTTGCAGTATGTTCATTCTGCAAGATACAGGATAAAATCAGCTCATTTCCTTGTTTGCTGTCCAGTCTAGACATGTCCCACATGCAAATAAAGTTTTGGTCAGAAGCTGAGTAGACCCATTATAATCAGCCTTAACATGCGAGTATTACTTGATATTGACAACCACCACTGATGGTTCTCAAGAGCATTATGGAAAATTCTGATTCAATGATGCTGCCTCACATCTCTAACCTGGAAATGGTCAGAAGTATATATCTCTGTGTATCAAGTTATTGTTCCCAGACCATGGCATTCCAGAACAGTTCACACAACTTAATTAATTCCAGGTTGTTGTACACAATGGAGATGGTGTAACTTGCCCAGGTCCTCAGCCATCTGTGAGCTGATATCTTTTTTAAAATGTTGGCAATCATGTAAACATATGCTGGCACCCTTGGGAATTTTGCTTGTTAGTTTGTTTTTACTGGCAGCTTTTGTTGGCTATGAAATCATAAACGAAAAAGGAAAGCAACTGAAATTTCACTTTGCAAAAAACTTTCCTGAGTCTATCAGTAATAATATGTTTTGCTCTCGATGTAGATTCATCGTTTGCTTGTCACTATTTGTCATTGCTGCTTCTTCTGGGACAATTTGATATCCTGTATGAGCATAAATATTCGCTTATAGTGTTCTGTATTCACAGAGTTGACTAATAATGAGAAAAAGATACAGAATTTTCAGATCTACATTCTCAGCAACATTCTCAGGGGTGAGCATGGGCTGTGGGTTTGCAGCTCCCTATAAATGAATAGTTACAGCAAAGTGCAGTTCTTAACTAGTTTTTTGATTGAATGGCACATTATCAGCGCAATCTGCATAACAGCCAGTGCCCAGTGTGGGGGGAAAATGGAATGGCTTGCAAGCAGTATGACAATTGGACCTGACTCACTTTTGTCCACCTGCGTGGAAATGAAATGGTTATAGGTCCATCTGAAAAGAAGTGGGGTGGAATCTCACCCCATTTGACCCCATTTCTAGCAATGATTATAGAAGCAAGTGTGCTTCCCCTATCTGTGTACCATATTATTAGAGTGGAGCAGAATAAAACATTAAGGGGATTCTGAAACATTGGAAAGAATGGAAAAAAGGGAGGAATGTAGTGTAGAACTGAAGTAACCTAATGGCTTGTTATTATAGATTAGATAAAATCAAACTTTAAGCAAAGGAACTGAATTTTCTGAAGGGCTAGAAATGGATAGACCTGCCGATCTTGGTCTCGCTGAGACTGATTGACAAGTTTTTCACAACTTGAGTTGATCATTCTATGTCCTACACTCATGGTTTCAGCTAGAGAAGATATTATACTTCCTCTTTGTGACAGCCTTTCAGGTACTTGTAGAGTGCTATCATATTCTACCTCAGTCTTCTTTTCTCAAGGCTGAACATCCCCAGTTCTCTCTCTTTATCATCACAGGGCAATGTTTCTAAACCCTGGATCATCTTTATTGTCCTCCTCTGAACCCTTTCCAATGTTTTGATTTTTTTTTTTAAATTTTGGTGCCCAGAGCTAAATACAGTACACTAGATGAACTCTGACTAGTGTAGAATATAGGGGAACTAGTATTTGTCATGTTTTGGAACTAATGCTTCTCTTAATGCATCCTGAAATTGCATTTGACCTTTTTGTGGCTACACCTCTTTGTTGGCTCATGTTTAGCCCCTTGTCCACAATAACTCCAGGGTCCTTTTCTTTTGCAGTACTGTTGACCCATCAATGCATTTGGTTTCTTTTTCCTAGGTGGACAACTTGGCATTTGTCCCAACTGAATCTTATTTTGTTGCTTTCAGCCCAGTGTTCAAGCATGTCTATATCACCCTGGATCTTCTTTCTGTCTTTGAAGATGTTAGCTATTTCACCTGGTTTTGTATTGTCTGCAAATTTGATTTATATCTTTTGAGAAATCTGTACTTAAAGTAATATACATTTTCACAATGTACAGTAATGGATGCATTTTTCTGTGTATTTTCATGTGGGTTTTTAAATGCTGACTTCTTTTCAAGTACTGCACAGTGCTGAACTGCTGTTTTCTGTGCACTTTTCTTACATAAAAGCATTTTATATGTGTACTTCCCTATTTCATGGGCATTTTTCCTTGAAATGAGGTACATCAAAAACCTTGCAAAAATTCAGATCTCAGAGTACAACTCTGTCTCAGTTGCCTGACAAGTGAATTCATTAAAAAAAACCAACAGAACAAAGCTATCAACTGTAAAGGAAGCATCTTCCTTAAAGAAGTTGCAAAAAAGTCTGTCTCAGTCCATGGTTTAGTAGTAATTTTTGAAGTACTCATCATGACAAACTCCATAACTACGTCCAGAGATAACTCCGGATTTCTGAGGACTTTTGGACAAGAAGATCTCAATAGGCCTTCCCTCCTTGAGTCCTCCTTCTCACTGAATCGACTGTCATTGGTATCAGTGGTTAATGCTCCTGTTTCTCATTTCTCCGTAACCACTTGTTTGACAGACAGACAGCCCACTAGGCAACATCATCTTTACACCACCACCAGTGTTATCTGGGCCAGAGCAAGAGGCAGCAGGTGAACAAATACGTTGCAATAATGAAGAAGGATCTTGTCAGTGGATCTCTGCTGGGGTGTGAGCTCTGGCCAGGTGCCCAACCATGTCTACTTTTGGTGCCAGCCCTGGATACAAGTCAAGGAGAGTCCAAAATACAGGAAGCTGTGTCAGTGCTTCCACACTTCCAGATCTGTCACCTGAAATTCATTCTGTCTCAGGAGAGGGCTCCCTGAACTATGTTGGTCCATATCTATCTCTATATGTATGTGTGTGTATTAAGTATGTGTGTCTGTGTGAGCATGTTTACAACCAATACACTCCAGTAAATTTTCAAGGAGTTCCATCACCCACATGCACCACTACACAAGGCCAGTTTTTTAAAAACCCTCCAAGTCAGCAAACCAGTTCAAGCATTTCCAGCTCCTTCAGAATAAAGGGTTTAATAGATTGAATTAGTGCTAACTGTTCATTCAAGTTCAAGACACTACAAATTATTGGCATTGCAACAGGGATAGTTCATGGCAATGTATTGTTGCTGGGAAAATCTCTTTCCAACCCAGCTAGTATAACAATTGTAGCTAAGCTCGGATAGAACAGGAAAGTTGTGGGGGCAGGCAGATAATGTGAGTCCTAGTTCGTCTACATCATTGGACCTAATCTTTCTTTCCAATGATTGAAGTTAGTAAATTATGAATCCTCATATTCTTTCAACCAAAGGACATGCTTTAGAATTAGGGCCTCAGTGTTAGTAATGTGTGTGAATAAAAAGGGACAGAATGGAGCTGTCAAGTTACAATTATGCAGAAAAAAAGGGGGGGAAGGTAATAGTTTTAGGAGTTCTTCTGCCAAAGAGAAATTCCTCTGGAGATGAGATTAAAGTCTTCTTACTGCTTTCTTAAGAAGCAATTTGTTTTTTGATAGGATATTTTGTGCTCATGTCCCCTGTGGATTTCAAAAATAGGTCTCTTTCTTTTACTTGGATGGTATCAGAAGCCTTTTTAAATTTGATTTTGAGATTTGATTTCCGGATCTGAAATTATACTCTGTTTTGTGTGTCTGCCTTTTTCTGAGATAGTTTTCCATATTTTTGCCAGTAAAAAGAGACAGCTGATAAGTAATTCAGCAAGGTGATTGTGGTATGCATTATATCTTTGGGCCATAGAAAAAGTAGAGCTGCTATATTGTCTAGAATACTCACAGTAGACAGATGATGCCCTTTCCAACTGCTCCATTTTACATTATTTATGGGTGCCTCATCAGTGAAAACCCAAGACCAAGTCAGCTTTAAATAATTTCATATCAGAGGGATACTTCCTTTACATTTCAGGAAACATTTTCAAAAACTGTGAAATTTTGCAAACAGGAATTCAGATTTACTAGAAACTGGAGGGTTCTGTCCTGAATCTGAAAGCTGATGTTGTGAAGCCAGAAATGTCCTTCATTGGTATGATACAATGCTAATTTCCATGAACCGATACACAAGGATTTGCCCTGCCATCACATTTTTCCAACCTGGTGCTCACCAGATATGCTGAAGTTCAACACCTATTATCCCCATCCATCACCATCATTGATGTGCTTTGTGGGATGATGGGAATTATAATCAAATGCATCTGAATGAAGACAGATTGGGGAAGATTGCCCTACATGAAACATTAAGGTAGGATCGAAGGGATCCTATTCAATTTTGGCAAGTTTGCCATAGAACACAATATCCCACATCAGGCAAAGTACAAAATAGTTTCTACCAAATTATTTTGAAGTATAATAACTTACATTGTTGTCTGACATCTCAGAGGATGCAAATAGAACAACCTCTTTTGTTCACAGGCAATTTTTATCATATTGCTCCAAATAACTTATTTTCCAAATATCGGGAATAAACTGTATTCCTTCTGGAATTTTCTGAAGAATTCATGACTGGTGGGTGGGTTTGTAAGCACATTGTCTATGAAGTTTTTATGTGTGCCAATTTATCTGTTGTTTTTAATTAATTTAGAGGTACTACAATAAAAAATGTGGGAGTTTGTTGCAAAAGTCTTGTTTGTTCTTTCAGTGTATTGAGTCCTTCTGGTACCATTGGGTTCTACAACATGAAGATGCCAAGAGACACTTGAAATAAAAATGTAGCAGAGTTTTCTTCATGTCATGTTGTGAGCATCCTAAAGCAGATTCAGACCCCCTTTGGAAATAGGATGTTTAACAAGATGGACATTTGAACTAAGATTCCATGATCTTGCAGGCTACAGTATTTATGGATGACATAACTTTGGGATGGAGAATAGGGTCCTCCGTGTCTTTATGGAATACAGTTCCCATTGTCTCTCACTATTGGCTATGCTGCTTGAGCTGAAGGGAGTTACATTCTAACATCTGGAGGGTCACCCAGGTTGCCCGTAGCTTATGCACAGCTTGTCAGTTTGACTTATCTATGATAGACTGCTGGAAAACTGACTGAAGAAAACTCTGACCCACCTAGTATCTTCACATGTGAAATGTTATTTTCCACTGTGCCCAATGGGTCAGCTTCTACTCTAACTTTGTTAAACTTAGTTTACATATGTCATTCTCCAAAAGTTCCGAAAATGTCATGCTGTTGGCAGGCACTTGTAATTGGACCGTTTGGCGGGCTATTGGATCGACACTCTGCATGCCCAGAGTAGGTGGAGACAGTGAGGTATAGCCTTAAGCTATTGAGGTGTAGCATTTCATAAACATGGTCTCAGTATCTCCACTCGCTTTGGTGCCACTGGGCTATGTAGCACGCATGACCAAAAGCCACTTGTGATCCAGGCATGTTGAAAGCACAGAAAGAGAAATACTTCGTTTTCCGTCTTTGAATGGCTTTGCATATATATATGGCATTCTACTTGCAGCTGCTAGTTTTCAGCATACTCAATGGATTGAATGCTTGCTACTAACTGTGCCTTGTTCTTTCCTACTCACCCAATGTGGGTTTTTTATCTTTCATCATTTTTCCTAGGTAGCAGGGATCAAAGGGATATTCCTGGCTAACAAAAAAGTGGAAGACCAAATTAAGACTTTCATCACCTACAACAAAGGGAGAGACTGGCGTTTGCTGCAGGCTCCCGATTCGGATCTAAGAGGAGACCCTATACATTGTCTCCTGGTCAGTAATGGTACATTTTCAATCTGTAATTAAGGGATATATCAGGATTTCCAATCTCTTAGTTTCACATAGAAATGGACTCATTGAAATCCATGGGGTGTCTCCATAGGACCAAGCCCTGTATAATTATTTCCCCAATTATTACGTCTTTCTCCTTTTCGGGTGATAATTAATTGAATAACTTATCAACATCAGGTTTCATAGACCCTTCAAGCCAGAAGGGATAATTACATAAAGAATTAAATGCAAGCTATAGAATTGTCCCGAACTTTGAACGTTCTACAAAGACATAGCTTGGGATCAAATTCTTTATCTACATATATTGTCCTCCTGCTTTCAGTAGGAGCAGAGAAGCTATCAATATTTAAAACAGGCAGGACATGTAAATAAGCATTTGAATCAGACCACAACAGATCAAACCATTCCATAAAAGCCATAGCAAATTAACGCCAGTTGTCACAGTGAAAAAGCCCTTGTCATGCTTTTGAAAGAGGCTCAGATTGAGAATTTAGCAAATTCCATAGAATAATAATTAAAGGGACAGCAGGTTGCCTCTATAATTTTGTAATTACAGGGACAGCACGTTGCCTCTCTGAATGACCTTTTGCCTAAATGTACTACAAGAGAGCAGTATTAGTTGATCTTAGGAAAGGATGTGGTGGTGTTGGTGCTGACCTTGGATTCTGTTGTTGGCCCATTGCTTGTTCTGTGGAAATAGAAGAAAATATAAACCATGATCCCAAAGGGCAGATGACTCTGTAAAAATGGTATTTACATATTTCTCAATCCTTTTAGCCCTTCTGCTCCTTGCACTTGCACTTGAAAGTCTCTGAAAATCCCTACACTTCAGGCAGTATTTCAAGCAAAGAGACAGTTCCTGGACTGCTGGTTGCTACAGGTAAATAATTTGCTTCTATCAGTTGTTCTTTCTCATTTCAAATGCATATCTGCTCTTGCACTGAGAGTTCAGGCAAAGTAATAATATATAATGATGAATCTCCAAAGCAACTTTTAAGCCTGTGACTCTTCCAATTTACCTTTCTACCTACCTCCCAATCACTGTCACTTGTACCCCTTTAGCTTTTTTCTTCACTTTCTACGGCCCCTCACTGGCCCCACAGCACTCTGGAAGAATTAATCATGATCTGTGCAAGAACATTCGCTGAGGCATATGCCATTTTGCTTTATAGTGTGACTTATCTCTAGAAAGAAAAGGCCTGCGTGGATCTGGTTTGTGCCCATTACTGGATCAAAGTCTATGCTTTCTTGTTTTCATATACAAATCAGAAAGTATATACAACGGTGATGTTTGCTTGAGGTCTTGAGGTCAGAGATGGATTTTTCAACCACATGATGCAACAGTATTTTCCAGATTTGTCCCTTATCATAAGTCCTATTATCCTTCATTCAAAAAAATTTAAGCAGAGGAATTCATGGGATTTCTGACTGAGAGCTTATTCATCCATGCAGTTATTGTCATTTTTGGGGTGGTCACCCATGGACTGCTGCTTGGAGAGATTATGCAATATGAAGAACAGCCTGGGGACAAGAAGAGCTACTGTTGCCCAGACTTAGAGCACTCAGCATCCAGCTGATTTCTATAATCCAGTGCAGGGATTGTGACCTCTATGCTGTGGGTTAGGCAATTATGTCTGAATCTAATTCTCCCATGGATATGAGATGCCAATGTCCATTGATCAACTCCAGCAGCTTTCTTCAGGAGGAACCTATAGATAAGGACACTTCTCCAAGTGGCTAGCCATAGAATTAAGGAGTTCCATTTTGATGGAAGAATCTTGTCAGAGAGAGCTGGAAGAGACAAGTTGGAAAAGTGCATTTAGAGTTTTCTACATTGAGTTCTCCCTGTAGAAAGTTTTGACTGTGGGTCAGCATTCTGCACTTTATTATCTGTGTGATCATAAAATTCTGTAGCCTATTTCTGTACGCTTTCCATTTTATATTCGACATGGCAATAAGATTAATGCATGATCCTAGGCATATTGAGACGTAAAATGGTCCTACAACTCCCAGTGATGCTTGGAGCTGTAGGGCTTTTTTCTGTCTAAGCATTCATAGGATTGTGCCCTTAGTGAATTAAGAAGACTATTTCCTGTTTTCTTGCACTTTACTACTTCCAATTTAACATTTTGGAGTTCGATTAGGATGGTATGCCAATTTTAAATTACTTTTATTTTATTGGCTGTTTTCGGCTTGATATTTAAATAATTTAAACTATTTAAATAATAGTTGCCTGTTGCTGTGCAAAGGGAAGTATGCTGCTGTTAGGAATATGTGAGGAATCCATTTGGGTGGTCAAAATCCACTGGATTGCCTGGCTCAGTTCCCTGGATTCTGGCCCATTAATCCAGCACTAATGCCGACTCACATTGCCATGAGTCAAGCCAACAGGCAATCATCTTCTTTTAAAACAAGCCACAATTTGCTTGTTTTGTTTGCTTGTATTAAGCCAGGGAAATTTGCATTAATTCCAGAAGTCAGATGGACAAATGGAAGGAATATGAAGGGAAGGATGAGAAGGGGAGTGTGGCATCCAAGCACCGTCCCATCCTCTCATCCTTTCCCTGACGAGTGGGCTATAAGTGATCTGTTAGTTTGCCCTATAGCTTTGTAGTGCTGCCACTTAATGTTAGTGCCATTCATAATAAGACAACCATAGAAAGAGAATCAGAATGTGAAGCAGAATAGGAAGCAGTTTGGGAGTGTGGGCCATGCTGAGACACTGCAATTAGAGACATGGTGGTGCTTATTTCAAGGCCAGACTCTTCAGGTGGACAGGCAGTTCCTGGGAATAATCAAGATAAACAGCTGGCAGGAGGGGACCATGAACATGGAAGTTTCTCAGACACACAGACCAGGTAGTCTCAGCTCTTGACACCATGACATGGCATCAGCAACGGAGAGTGGCCCAATCAGAGGATAAGAGTACAGTGAGGAGGCAAGCTCATCTTCAGAAAGCCCTCCCGAAGGCATGCTCAGGAGGACAGTTCACGGAGGAGAAATCCAGATTGGGTTCAACAAGCCACTCTGTGCATGTTCAGAAATCCAGTTCTGGGTGATTTGGGCATTGGGTCAATCAAGAATGTATTACAAGGAAAATGGTCTGTGGCTTCTGAGTGGTTGAAGGTGGATCCTTGGCTCCCAACACAGAAGATACAAGGTTTGCGCAATGGAGCCAATTCTAGTTGGCACCCCAGCTAGTTTCTTCTTACCATCTCCTGGCACTAAAACTAGGTGGATGAAAATGGCTGCCTTGAGAAAATGCAGGCCATGAAGCATGGTGGCAGCAGCAAATGCCATGGCTGCACCACGTTCGTACCTCCAGATGCTTGTAGGCTTCTGAGATTAGAGTCTTAGGAGCAGAGTGATTGGATTGTTCCCTAAGTGAGTGTGTCTGGATTAAAGGCCAAAATGCAATAACAGCAACACAGGTTTACATTAAGATGTTTATATGGCTGTGAAAACTGGACCATAAGGAAAGCTGAATGCTGAAGGAATGATGCCTTTGAATTGTGGTGCTGGAGGAGACTCCTGCGAGTCCCTTGGACTGCCAGGAGATCAAACCAGTCAGTCTTAGAAGAGATAAACCCTGACTGCTCTTTATAAGGCCAGATACTGAAGATGAAACTCAAATACTTTGGCCACCCAATGAGAAGGAAGGACTCACTGGAGAAAAGCCTAATGCTGTGAACAATTGACGGCAAAAGAATGGGACAGCAGACGATGAGGTGGCTAGATGGAGTCACTGAAGCAGTCGGTGTGAACTTAAGTGGACTCCGGGGGATGGTGGAGGACAGGAAGGTCTGGAGGAATGTTGTCCATGGGGTCGCGATGGATCGAATGTGACTTTGCAACTAACAACAACAAAAATGCATATTTAGACGTTGTTCTTTCTCTGTGATCACAAGATGATTTAAGCATAATGTGGCTCAGAGTGAGTACAAAGCAGTGGTACAAGACTGTCCTAGTCAATTCCTACTAATTGCAGTTGTATTATAACTGGTTAGGCACATTGGGTTCTATTTAGTAAAGTAACGTAAAGCTAAGGTTGGCGAGAACAACACTGCTCCACCACATGGTAAAATGAAGCATTTTGTATTAGGAATCAATGTGCCCAAGAATGTCATCACACTGTCTCCATTTAAGGCCAAGGAAATCTCTGCTGGGTTCAATTTTTTTTCCAAATAGATTTAGTTGAAGCCTGTGTTAGCTGGGGCGGATATTAAGATTCTTGAATCTCTCCAGTTTTGAATTTTGAGGGATGCAGCAATCTTGTTTTTGGTGATTGTGCCAACACAGCTGGCTTGGTTACAGCTTGAAAGGCTTCACAGCCTTCATTGTCTCCATCCTTTCTCTATCCCTCTGCCTTATCTCTCTATCAATTTCTGTTCTGTGAGGGCTTTGCAAGCTGTGCCATTCCTGGGGTTGGAGGCAATTGCCTGTGAAATAGCATTGATCCATGGTGCTGTGCTTCACAGTCACCCTTACACCCAATCCTACATACTTATTTGCTGCCAGTTTGGCCTATTGGCCTGTGTGCCTGGCTGTCTTCAACAACTCACTGAATTTCAGCCTTGTATTCTGCTTCCAGGATTCAGCCATGGAAGCAGAATCCTGGAAGAGAACTAGGTAGAATTACTAGGCTTAGTAAAATATGTGTGGTACAATGAAAAAAGGCATCGGCAAGTCCGTGTGTGTGTGTGTGTGTGTGTGTAAATATGGTGTTTACAGAAATTGAATATCTTGGAAATACCAGTTCCATCTGACAACTGCGTGGATTGTAGTGGTAGCTGAAACTAGCAATCAGTTCTGCTTCTTTTATTCCTTTGAAGTTACGCATGCAGTCCTATGATATTGTCACAATCAGATCTTTAGCCATTCCTTGGTAATATTACCATTTTATACTCTGCCAAATCTAGCTGTGGAATAAATGTGTCCTCTTTTAGGAATGGATAATTCAAGCTTTCCACTGTGGCTGCTTGCTGCTGGGAATTTCTTTCTTGCATTGAAGCCTGCCTGGAGCGGCTGGAAGCAACTTTGTATGTGGCTATAATAGTCTTGGGCTACTTTTGTACTTTAGACCCTCTTGGAGATGCTGCCAAGGAATTTGTTGCAAGGGTTCATTCCACAGCAGTTTAATAGCTGTTGCACATAATTCATGGGCTGATTTTGCCATCCAAAAAGAAAAGAAAAGAACTTGAGAACACTTCAGCACCAGCACATTGATGTTCTCTGTTTGTCCGTGAAACCTGTCTTTAGCAGATCACAGGATTCTAATGACAGCCTGTTAGGATGTTAAATACCAGTGGTGCCCACCCCCTGGTAATTAATCTGACAGCCATTATAGCCCCTTTATGTCTGCAGCTGCTGGTTCACAGTAGGGTCTCTCATCAAGATGGCCACAGCCATCCAGCCTTCTGCACAGCTCCCACAATTCTTAGCACAGTGGGAGCTGTCTAAGGTAACAAAATGCTTGTTGAATGGTTGTCACTGGGTATATGTACAACAGAATGTGTTCTGTAATTTCATGGAAATGCCTGCAAATTGGCACATTGCTGGTCAGATTAGGTTGTTGTGTCTTCCCACCCAGCTGCTAAACAGTTCCAAGGGTGCTGCACGACAAAACAAAATGGGTGTTCTATATTGTTAGGTTCTCAGACTTAAGGCAGAAAATAACTTGGGCTAGGTGGACAGAGAACAGGGAGTACAAAGGTAAGCAAGCTGGCAAAACTTGATAACCTCTTCTCAAAACAGCTTCTTTCAGATTGGCCTTCTGGTTTACACTGTCTTCCAGGCTGAGAAAGATAATGGACTGTAGGGTGAATATGCTAGCAAGACCTGGCAGGTGTCCTTCTCCATCTTATACAAGTAGCCTTTGTGGCATAGAGAGAAGTACATCTAATCTGTGAAGCTCTCACTTGAAGCTATGCAGCAGGTGACATACATCCGGAATTCAGTCAGACTGGGGAAGGGCCTTGAAATGTGTTCTCCACAACTCAGGAAGAAAATGTGCCCCATTCCATTTCTGGAAGTTAGATATAAAATACAATAGTATCCTTTTAAGTTGTCAGCCTCAGGGGAAGGGGCTAGTGTTCATTTATTCAAAGTCACCAGAATAATAATGCAATCTGAAAAGAGGAAACCTAAAAGAACTTCTATACTAGGAACCAATTTTCTTGTTAATAAAGCCATAATTTTCTCTTTAAATAATAGTATGGTGCAAAGAGGTAAACCCAGTTTTAAAGTAGCAGCAGACTCCACAGAGAACAAACTGTTAAATGAATTGTAATGACCTCAGGGGAGGTAAGAGGGAAACTTATGCCATTGTGGTCAATTAAAAAATAGGATAAAAATTTGGTGCTATTATAGGTATGATTTATAAAGAATATTCGCCTATATAGACAGAAGCATATGCTGTTGCCCCATATTATCAAGACACAATCGCATAGATATTTCTCACTTTATTTCTCCAGGAACACATAGAAGATTAGCTTGTGCATCACCTGCATATTGATGTTGCCCCAAGGTGCCCTGTTCTAATAGCTCATGCTCCAAAGCCTTACGTGGGTTTTATAAGTGTGGATGTTATGTGCCAACCTAGAGGGTGGAGGCATATGAACAATAGGACTCCTAAAAGTGTCCACAGGCACCCCTGGATTTAAGGATGCTGGAGCTGTGAGGCTGGCAGGAAGAAAGATGGTACCAACCAGACTGGCCATCTCTGATCTTCTCTTGGCTTGTCATGGGGTGGCAGTGGCACGACTTGGGCTTTGCACAGATGCAGGCCATAAGAGATAGCTGTGTGTGACTAGGAATGTGCCAGAACAGAGAAATAACCCCATTTGAACTCAAAAGATTGATGATTGGAAGCAGGTCAGGGTTTTCTTTAAAGTGAATTTCTTTTTCTTTAATGCACAATTTGTGCATTAACAGAGGAAGAAGGGAATTTGCATAAAACCAATCAAAGGGAATTTGCATAAAATTTGCTGATTTGTGCAAAGCAGAAACTGAAAAAGCATGTGGCCCTAGCCTAATGCAATTTGTGTACAATTGGCTGATTTGCATAAAGTAGAACATGGAAAGCATATGTTCCTATCCTAATCTGTAGGAATCATGTTCTTTGTGTTCAGATTTGTGCAAATAATACTACAATGACTTCTTTTCCAGGTTCTATTTTGTACAAATTGACTATCTGCTTACCACTCAGAAACATACTGTTTTTGGCTCTGAGTTATCAAAATTATTAAATGTTATATGTGAATTTCCATGGCAGTCTATCTAAGGCATGGAGATCAGCAAACTGGCTCAACTTACACCATGGTGAGTCAGTAGCAGTGCAGGGCTGGTGATCTGAAATCTGGGTGGGAGGAATCATGAAAATCCATCAGCTTTTCACCCCCTATTGGATTCCAGGCACATCTGCATAAGTGAAAAATCCATCTGGATCCTAAAGAGTTTTGGAGTTCGTTCTTTTTGACAATGAATCTGTTTGGAGGTGTTATTTTCAACAATTTAAGTGTCATCACAAGTTGGTAGCCATTTATTCTACTCACTGGCTGAAATATGTCAAGCTGCATTTGAGCTTTAATGTTTCATTCTGAAACATTAAATGTCAGGGGCTCAATTAACATTTTCATTGGCGTCTATTTATTGTTCTATTGAAGCTATGGATGTTTGGGATTCATGCTTTCTTTCCTGTTGTTTTTAAAGTAAAACAAAACACAACACCCACTAGCTCTGCTTCTTTTCCTTTTTATACAACTGAAGAAATTATAGACATGGCATTGATTCTTTGACTTCAAAGTTATTGCTTGCTATGGAGCTTTAAAATTAACTTGTGTATGAAGGTATTTGGAGGATAAGCAGATTATTACTGAAGTGCAGCAATGGGCAAACAGGTGTGCATTCCAAGAAAACTATTATTAACTTTTTTGTTGGCAGACTCAGTTAAAACATCTTCATGATAAAGAGGCATCCTGGTGTCCAATAAGACGAAATTGACTTTTCAGCCTTTCAGCTTGTACCCTGAAGAGCTAGTGCCACAAGAAGTTGCAGCTAAGGATGTATGACAATTTCATTTTTGCTCAGAAGGCATTCAAACATCTACTGTCTGAAACCCTGAACATGATCACGACTGTGTGTGCCTGATGAAAAAATATTGTACATTGCCAGTACATTGCATTCAATTTGTTTAACTACCCAGTTTGATTTTTGCATAGCCTTCTTGAGTTGCACAACTTTTCCTTGAATACTGAATCAGCTCCACTCTGACCTGTGGAGGAGAGGTACACAAAGTAGATTTGGAAAAGTCTGCAGACATAACATCCGATCAATGCTTGATTTGCACAGTGTTTCAGACGGAGCGGTGATCTTAAACATGAAGAGCAACAGGTGCAAGACAAACTGTGAGATAATGCTGGGAGAATCTTAGTGTTTGTGAAACCACTTGTTCACCCACTTGTTGCGGATGATCGCACAAATATATACTGTATTTATCACTGCTAAAATTACTTTTGACCTGAAAGATAACATGTTGATGTAGCTTCAAAACTGGCCGTGCTAAATGACCAAAACACTGGATTTTAAGGTCAGATTCACTAAAACAATTTTAATAAAACAAGGATCCTGGAAAAGTCTGAATCTCTGCAGTCCTGGTTCTGAGTTAGGTAGCTCATTTAATTTCATTTATTGCATTTCTGTATTGCTCAATAGGTGATTCTACTTGGATGTAATCTATTCCTGGCCTTCATAAGAACACAACTGCCTAGTAGACTGCATCCTGTATATTCCAGGGATAGATTCAAGAGTGTTATGCACAATTGTAGAATTTTAGCACAAGACCAGAACTTAAGGAGCAATAGTTGGAGATGGTTCAGGCATTTGAGTGCTTCACTTTTAGAATTTTGTGTCTAAATCTGCAGTTATTCATCTGCTTGTGCTGCTGAATTAGTCTTGTCACCTGTAATATTATTTCAGCTTCTTCCATAGTAGCTATATGGTGGGCAGGTACAATATAGTACTCTCTTTATTCAATAGGTACAGCTATTTCCAGCAAAGTTAGTGCAGATAAGCGAATGTTTCATTTGGTTTTGTTTTTTTGAGAAAACTTAGCAAAATGCACTTTTTCATAAACAAGATAGAAAGTACTAGGTTTTTGTTCTCATATTTGTTTTAGGTCAATGGGGATAAAGTAATATTTATTTATTTATTTATTATTACAAACATTTATATCCTGTCCTTCCATGCAAATGCTCAGGATGGCTTACATAATATAGAATAGTATAACAGCAGTGCTTTTTTTTTAAGAAAAATGGTGCCGGAACTCATGAAATTATTTACCTTTCGTGCTTAGTCAATCACTGTACACATACACACATACGTCAGTTGTGTAACGAAACATAACGGTTGCTGCCCGCAGTAAGCACTCAGCATGTGACCACACGACCAATCACAAGCCAAGCAGCACCATCACAACCAGTGTGGACTAAGTACGCATGCATCAGACTCAACGCACAAGCAGCCTGCATGCACCATTTTAATCATTTTGCCGCCGACCTGCTACGCTCGACAGGGTGATTCAAATTCACACGGACCAAACATTCAATTTTCAAAAGTTACTCTTAAAACTTGGAAAATCTGTTGAAAAAAGGTGCCGGAACTCTGTTCTGGTGTGTTCTATGACAAAAAAAGCACAGTATAATAGTATAAAATACAATAATAAAACCACAGTTATTAAAAACATAAAATTGAACATTATAAACTAAAAGAAAAGGAAGAAAAAAGTAGAAAATAGAAAAAATAGAAATAGACAATGCAACTGTGCGAACAGAAAAAAAAATCTTAAAACATCTAAAATCCTTGCTTATTAAAATGATGGTTGAATAAAAAGGTCTTTACATGGTGCCGGAAGGAGTATAACGTCAGTGCCAGCTGGACCTCTCTGAGGAGTGCATTCCATAGTCTGGGTGCCACATGTATAATACATTTATACATCCCTAACAAAAGCTGAGGGGAAAAGTTATGTGTCTCAACATGGCTATCAGGTCTGTGATATCAGTCAATGTTGTGCGTATCACATGCAGGCAGAGATAGGAGATTCCTGTTACTTGGATGCCATATGACTTTTAGGGATAAGTTATATACAGTTAGCATAACCTGAAAAAACTCAGAGCAGAATCAGATGCATCCTGAGTAGACTTTGTTTCAATTCAGTTGGCAGTGATTTCATTGGTTCCATTTATGTTGCTTGTATTTACCTCTGAATTTTGTATAAAAATATAAAAAGGGAGAAGGGGACAATTAACTTCCTCGCATCCAGCTATTTCAATTCTGTGAGCCATGCACAGATACTATATATGTAAATTAATTGGCTTGAGTACCAAGCTCTGTTCAAAAAAGAGCTTTATCTAGTCATGTTTGCATGCATACCATTTATGAGTACACATGCAACCATAAACAACCATAAATGGTTACATGTAAAAACAAAGTGCCATTGTTAAACAGATGAAACATCTCACCTCTCCATTAGTGGAAAACAATTTTGCATTTTCCTGTTTTGCAAACAGAGCACAACATAACTCCTTGTGAATAGAAGTCCTCAGTAATATATTTTTAGTTATGTAATCCCCCATATTCCTCAGTTTTCTTCATTCCTTTCACCTGCTCCCTGTTGTTCTCCAGTGTTCTCTGCATTATGAGTAAAAATATTTATTTCAGCAGGTGATTAACTGCTTAGAGAAAAAGGATAATTCCTCTCTAGCCACACATGAGTTTATCATCTTTCTCTCTTTTGGTTTTTCAGGCAACATAGGTCCAGAATTGTCATACACTGAGATTGGCATGTATGTTTCTTCAGATGGTGGAAATTCTTGGAGACAGGTAATTCCTGGAAGATTCAGGGAACAATTGGTTTTCCTGCAAAAAACATCCCAGCAGTTTCACAGGTCTTGGAGGTACAACTCACCCTGTCTGTTTCATGTTTGCAGATCTTTGAGGAAGAATACAATGTGTGGTTTCTTGACTGGGGAGGAGCCCTTGTAGCTATGAAACACACATCAATGCCCATTCGCCATTTGTGGTAAGGATGTTTTCTTTCACTTGGGAAAATGCTTCTTAATGGAAGATGAGCCATTCCATTGGCAGTTGGAGAAATGTCCCCTGCACTCCCTTTGCTGAGTGCTAAGAGAAAGCAATGTGCAAAATTTGTCAGGTCTTCTATTTTTTCTTGCATTTCTTCATAAGTCACCAGGTCAAGAAAAGGACACCTGGAGCTGGTTTTGGACATAGGAAAGAAGTAACCAGAAGACAAGATGGAAAGCAAATAATGAAACAGTGGTTAAGCTTAAGAAAAATAACAACAACAACACTAATAAAAATCTAGCAGACTTAATTACCTGCTCATTTTATATATTTAAATGCTTGCTATGGTTCCCTTCAGTAAAATTCACAGGTTAATGCATACTGAAAATGAAAAATATGCATACATATTGAAATGCCCATTTAAAATATACAAATGTAGTACAGACTCACAACAGCAGTGAAATTCAGCAAAGCACCAGGAAAAAAAGGAAAAATTTAAACTAGCTCTCACTACAAGCTAGAACACCAGGCAAAGAACAATGTTTTTACCAGGTGCCCAGAGGGCATTACAGTTAACATCAGACAAGTTCTCTTGAGGTTTTCCTCAGGTAATTCTATAAAAGGCTCACCCTGACAAGGTCCTTCTCCCTGCTTGAAAGCTGCCTGATTTCACTTTGACCTATTGTATGGGAGAATATTTCATTGTGTACATGAGCATGTACAGGTGTGTACATACCTGACTGTTTGTGCTAGATAATGTAGCATCCTTCTTTCCTAGATTATAGAATAGGAGCTTCATTCTGTAATATTATACAAATTTTATTTAAAAGCCATTCCCTCCTCTGTATAAATGGCTCCTGAAGGTGGAAGCAGGAAGGAGAAACTTATGGGCAGCAGAGTGAAGTGGGTAGCAGAACAGGTCAGTGAAATGAAATGAAATTAATTTAAACCTACTTTAAAAACCCCACACACTTTATTATGTTCAATATTATTGAACCATAAAGATCTGCAATGGTATTAATGGGAATGAAATTCAAAACATGTTCATCAACAAAAACATAAAGCAGAATAACAGTAACTCCACAATAACCCAGCTATGTTCAGCTATGCAACACAATCCTATTAATTTTTCATGACAGAGGAAAATTCCTTTAGTTTGGCTTTTACTGCATATTTTCCTACAGTTAAACTTTTGAACTAAGCATGGATTAAAATTTAGTTCTCCTTCAAATTTGCAGTGGTGTTCTCCAACAAACCATGAATTCAGAAATGTGAATATTAGAGGAATATCCATGCCAATATGCATATATTCATGAAAATAATGTCCAAAACTATATTAGGACAATAGCTTCAAGTAAATTATATTAGGCAAGGTTATGCATAAAAATTCATGGATTGGGATGAAACATGCACAAAAAATCTCTATATTTGGGACAAACTGAAAGCAGACTTAAGACAGGAAAAATAAGAAACAGAGAGAAACCAAATTGACAGATTTATTAATTCCTATGGATGTTACTTGTACTCTGACTTATTCCCATGCTTTAATAGTTTCCCAGGACTGCTTACAAAAGTTAAAATTTTAATAATACATGTAAAACATAAGTAAGTTTGACTATGAACTTTCACAAACTTATTCCCAGTGCATAGAATTTCAGTCCTAATTAAGGGTACAGTCATACCGAGATGGGTTGATGCTTATGCTTAATATAGAACAGAAGGAGTGGCAGAGGTGATCCTCATATGTTGGTTGCTCATGTCTCTTCCTAAAAAGGTTACTTTTCCAGACTCAGCCAGCAGCCAGCATGGTTCTTTGTGAAGGGTGTGGAATCAGTGCTCCAGTTCCCAGTTCTAAGTTCAGAACAGACTTTGTCCTTGGTGATGAGAATCCAAATGATCCTATGGCCCGTCAGACAATGTCTAGGAGACAAAGGAACTTAGGTATCAGAAAACAAAACAAAACAAAACAAAACAAAACAGGAAAAAAACCACAACAGAGCAGCCATGCATATGTTTAGTGATGCCATTTCTTTTTATTTTATGTCATGAGAATGAAAAACAAAGAGAAAGCTCTTTCACCCAGAACGACGAGCTGGAATTTCCATTGATACTGATAATTACTGCTGAGTTCTATAAAACATATGTGGGTGTTTTGCTTCTTCTAATGGGTTGACCTACTCCAACTTCTGAAGCTGTTAATGGACAAATTAGAGGGAAAGAGCTTTCAGAAGCTGACATCCATACACCCTGTGTTTGAATTAAAATACTCTTGCAGATGGACACTTGTGACTCCGTGCAAAATGGAACATTATGGCTTTCATTCAAATAATAACACATCTTTACCACAGTTATGATATGCAAGTGTCTCTTCTACTTTACTTATTAATGAACCTTCAACTTGTAACTTTGATGTGGGCCACCAGAAGAGGCCAATGAACTGGAAGCTCTGCATTTTACACTGCAATATTGTAGGTGTTTTCACATATTCAAAAATTTGGTCTCTGTCAGTTCTCATTTGTCAATGTTTATTAGCTTATTTAATTTAGGTTAGCATATGGTAAGGGTGCTTTAGGAATTTTGTCTCTGCAAATTGCTGCACAAACTTTCCTGTTCTGCACCTCTCTAACTGAAGATAGTATTTTAGCTATCCATCAGGTGTTGCACTTCTAACATTGCAATTCTGCTGTTATCAGTTAAAAGATGTGAAGATTTTACAAGATTCAATTTGGATGCCAGGAAGTACTTTCAGACAGTTAGGACCCCAACAGTATGGAATGGGCTTCCACAGGAGGTGGTTGAAGCCCCGTCGGTGAGGGTGTTCAATGACAGGCTAGACACGCACATGGTAGGCATGTCGTAAAGGAGCCAGGGATCCGACTAGATGGACTGAGAGGCCCCTCCTGACTTGCTCTGTTTCTATGTTTCTAAGATATATATGATAAGAGATGTCAGAGATGTCTTGTGAACTGCCCAGAGCCTATGGGAATGGGGAAGTATATATATAAAAAAATTGTTAAATGCATTTTTAGAGAAATTACACATTGTGTAGCACATTAGATATTTGAAAAGTGATTTTGCAATGATATTAGCAAGACCATTGACTAATATAAAATGGGACAGGAATTGTTAATAGAAAACTCTCCAAGAAGTGGTGACAAAGACATGTATCCCATTCTTGATAGTGGAAGATTTGGAAAGATTTCCAAAGCAAAGATTTACATATTTGATGATGACTGATATTTAGATTGTCAAGTGCTAAGCAAAGTCCGCAGCTGAATAACATTCTTTGTATGGAGTGAAATCATTGTGGACTTTGCATTAGAGCTGACCTAAAGGGGAACTCTTTTAATGAAACAGTTCACTCCCCTTGCAAAGGGTTCTCCATTTTGGTTATGTCTTTTAGAAGATAATTGGAGTAGGATGTAAAGAAAATTTTGGTTTGCTCAAATTCTTCATGGTAAAGTACATGCTTTGCATGAAGAAGATGTGAAGTACAATCCTTGGCATCTCCAGGTAGCATTAGGAAAGAAAACTGCCTGAAATTCTGGGGGCAGTAATAGGCTGGACATTCAAAAATTGCAAGCTACAGGCATCCACCCACCCCAAGCAATGTTTTTAATATTTGAGTCCAAAATACAGGCTTATGTTGTGGATGTAGAAGAAATTACCCACTATAAATAGACTTAAAGGAAGATGCATACTTCTCATGTACCTCCCTCTTCTGCTAGGGATTCCATTAAGGATCCTTGAAGAATTATTCTTTGCAAATTCCCCTAGAGAGTGGGCCAGACTCTTGCACGTTGCAGACGATTCAGCAGGAGTTATTGATTCCAAATAGGAAGATGATCAAGGAAGGGGCAAAGCCTTTGGAGCTTCTTCAGTTGTGCTTAGAGAGGTTTCTCAGACTAAGAGTGGGAATCAACCTGTTTTGGAAGGGAAGGAATGTTTTCAGGATGAGATGGGGAGCAGGTGCAACACCCAGTCCTTGAGCCAGTGAGGAGGCATCAGGAGAAAAGTGATGGTCAATTAGCTTCACCATTGAAGCTCTCTTGCTGACCAGCAGAAACAGCAACCCTGAGGAGCCAGAGTTTTAGTGAAAAGGGTGTCCATGGGGAAGTTTCCAGTTGGTTTCAACTCTGTGCATGAGCAAAGACTTCTTTTTTCAGCTTCTGTGGAAGGCTAGCTAGAGCTCAAACTGTGCTTTTAGCTGTGGAGACAATCAAAGAACTCCATGCTGAAAGGATTTTTTTGAGTTTTAGAATCAAAGGGAAGGAGAATGGTATCAGCCTTCAACATGCAAGACAAGCTAATCTAAATATTTTGAATCAATATAAAGACCAGACCTGACAATCTGCTGGATTTTTCCCTTCTCCATCTGTTTCAACATAGTTGTTGGTGTTCTGAACACATTTGGATAGTAAGAGGGCATTCTTAGAGGGTTTTTTAAAATCTTCAAATAAACATAATTATGGGTAAAAATGCATGCATGTCCTGCTCCTGCCTGACCTGACAACTGGGAACAAGGAGATGTAATTTCATCCACATGCAGCTGCATGTAAAATCAGTATGCGAAGAGGGTGGGTGTGGCTTGTTATTCAAGCTGGCACTGACCTTCATCAAGCCTCTTTGATTCCCAACACCTGCCTACCTTCACTTAATTGAAGGTAGTATCTGGTCACTTCTGAGAGCTGATTTGGAAGTTTTCCACCTGCCTGCAAATTGGAGAAGTGGACATGTTTTGTCACCTATTGTACACTTATCAATGAAAGAAGGGTTACAGTAGTGTGGTTGGTAGGTTGATTAACTTAATTTATTCATATTTGGCAGGTACATGCAGGTAATTATGTAGAATTAGTTAAGGCAAGCCAATGGATGCACATTTAAGGCAATTCTCAGGGCTTGCTGGCAGGGATATGGAAGCTATGGATTGCCGTAACCCATACTCAGATTTGGGGTTAATCTGACTCACTTATTCCTTCAGGGGATAGATGAGTCAGCAAAATTTAGGGGAAGTAGTGGGGACAAACCCCTGTCCACAGGACCCTGCAGGACCCTTAAGACGTTGGCCTCCTGTACAATCATTTCTGCTGATCCTATCGTCATTTTAAACAAATATGGCCCTTATTTAACTCTTTTCCATGACACACCTCTTCATTTGTGAGTGAGTTTATAATAAGACACTGAGTGTATATGGATAGGTTTGCTCCAGCCTAGATACCATGAAACTTTTTCTACCAGGAAGTGATAATGTGGTATCTACAGTGGTTTTGATTTCTAGCCCCAAGCAGAGGGATAACAAGTTCTGCTGACAAGTCATCTACTTAAGTGAGATAAGCTAGACAACATTGCACATTGAGAATAATGGCCAAATTAAATGTGATATGCATGCGCTTTCCCCCATTCTTTTCTTTTACAGACTGAAATACAGAGGGGAAGGCAGCAGTCAGGCCAAAAGACTGTCTTGTGAAGGATAGGCTTCTCTATCCTTTTCCCTCTTATTTGTTTCGTACCAGGATTGTGCCCTCCCAAACATGACTGTGGAGAAGAAGGAATTATAGCAGAGAAAATACCAGTGAGAAAGGGGTCAAGAAAGCTTTCCCCTTGTAGTCTACTGTAAATTGCACCTCTGGAGCTTAACTTTGTAAAAGTGAGAAAGTTAGAGGAAAAACTACAGGTGCTGTGGAATTTCATCTTAAATCAGGGACTGACCACAGATCATTTCCAAGCAAGCTTATATACAAAGGCACAAGTCTTAGTATGGCTTCTAAATAAACAAATCCCCTGTGCTAAAGCTGACAGTTGCAGATATATTCACTAAATGGCGAAAACAATTCTGACAACATGTTATTAGTCACGAGTCAGATGCAGCTCTTCGATCAGTGTTTCTTCTTGCAGCAAAAGCAGGATCCAGTCCAGTCCCTTGGAACACATTTACCTTTGCAGTTCCTTTATAGGTTCTCAGGCTTGTCTTCCAGAATCAAGATTAAGCAGGTTAACTTTTAAACTTAATTCTGGAATTGGAGTAGGCCTGCTTGGCTCAGCTTTAAGCTGTTCTTGTTCAGCAGTATTCGCTATTCCTGTATACTAATGAACACGAACACACTGATGAAGCACGGCTGGGAGGGAGGCAATCTTGATTTGACTGAACTGCCTCATGATTCTTTTTGTGACATGTCTTCCAGTGCTTACATCGGCTCTTCTTAATCATTTAAAAAACCACATGAAAAGAATCTTGATACAATCCGTACCATAAAGAATGCATTTGTACAGTGCTTTTTAATGCGGACAAGTACACATATGACCTGATAAAATACCACAAAAAGGAATCTTGGGACAGTCATATGTGCTCTCATACCAAGCTTGATGACACACTGTACAAAAAGCAGAATGTGCATATTGCAGAACATTCACACTTGCTTCATGCTTTTTATGTGATTAAGCCAATTTGAATAACTGATTGTTTTAGCTTTGTGTTTAATGCCATGCCTGCTTGACAAAAGAATAATTTTGTGTCATATACCCAAAATAGGTATATGAAGGCATAGAACCTCCCTTGAAACAGGGAAATCCTTAGCTCCTAAAGCAGAACAATAGTTTACAGCACAAGTTGAGGTGGAATTTTCTTTTGCAGGATCCTCTGATTTCCCCTGATCAGAGCTAGGCTATCATTTGACTCAGGCAGTGTCATCCCTCATTGACTTTGATAATGGTTCATGGTGCATTACTTCTTCAAAGCAACTCGAAGCTGAGCATTAATTAATAACAAGGCAAGACTGTGAAGATTGATGCCTGTTTATAAATCCAGCTACTGTCACTCACCAGCCTAAGAAGGTGGTTAATTACCTTGGAAATAGCTCCACTGAAACCCTTTTATGTGTATTTATCTCATCTCTTTCAATCTCAGGGTGAGTTTCGATGAAGGAAGGACCTGGAATAAATACGGCTTCACATCAGCACCGCTCTTTGTGGATGGGTCCCTAGTGGAACCAGGCATAGAAACACAGATAATGACGTAAGTTTTGGAGTTAATCAAGGTGCCCTGGGAGTTGGTGGAGATGTGCTACTTTGTCCATCTATCAAAACTGGCTGTCAGATTTGCTCTAGGGTGTCTCTGCGTTGCCCTCTGGAGTCGGGAAGCTGGCAGGATGGCCCTTGTGTTGATATTAACAACCGTATTTCATCCTCTGGCATTCATCATTATGCTAATATAATAAAGCATTGCCATCAGTGTTGGATTTAAATGCATATAGTACAAGCACCTGATGTTTGCAGAACACAACCCAGAGCTGTCTTATTTACTGTGATAAAACAGTCTTCTTTTTGTGGATGCAGTGATGCAAGATGGGAGTACTATTTTCTCTCCTGGGTGTCTTAAACTTCTGTTTTCAATCTACAAGTTGAGACAGAGACCCAGATTTGGGGTCATGAAGATGACATAGCCACATGATTTTTGAATGGAAATACCACTTTCATAGTTCCTTAAGTCTCCCAGGCTACAAATGAATGGAGGCTTTCATTGGCTAAAACGACACAGTCACCCAATTGCGGGTGAGAGGCACAGGGGCTTACTAGTGTCCATGAACCCTACTTGCAAATGGGATGCCGCCACAAAGGGTAAGCCCTAATATGAAAGATTTTTGCCAGATTCATAATTTTGCAGGTCTCAGACCTTCCCATTTTGGAAGGTTCATCCTCCTACAGTGCTCAGTCACTTTCTCTATTCTTACTCCTGGCGATGCAAGAGGGATTTGACTTTAAGAGTCCTAACTAGACCCAGAAAAGCCTTCTGGACAGGCTTTCCTTTTAGACTGCTTTTTGGGGTTGCTACTGCTTCCTTTCAGAGCTTCCCCAGCAGTCAGTTTAATGTGAATGTATCACTGCTTTCATATATGCTGACTCCAAAAGCAACAACGGTTACAATATCTGGGTCTCTGGTGAGGAGATGAAGCACAGCGATTTATTTATATTTAGCAGGTGAAGGCCACTTACAGATTGGAGACTATCTGCAAAAAAATTCTCTTCTGGTACCAAGAAACACATATTAAAAGAAGGCAACACTAGCAACGGACAGCTTTTCTACCCATCTCATGTACTAAGCTAGTCTCCCGGTGGGGTGTGGGGGTGGAGGAACCCTTCACCCAGGATATTTGGCAAGGACAAACAGTTTATTTAAATGTGACAACCCATTAAGTTGCATCTTGGTTTGGCTACTTCACACCTGAGGGAATGCCACATTCTTAGATTCCATATTATGCTGCTAGCAATAGGCTTTTCACAGTTGGTCCACTGGGGTTCCCTAATTCAGATGGAGATAAAGCTGTATTTTCACAAAATGATTTTTTTAAAACTCTGTGTGTATGAGGGGCATTCTGGACAGCAATGCAAGAATTTTGTTCTGGAATAAAGTAAGAATTTTCTTTCCTAAGAAAGCATTGCTTCATTGGAAATATGAGTATGGCTTTTGCCTGGAAGAGAATGGAGGGTATCTGTGTCAGTGAGAGTTTGGTTTAGAACCTGCAAAATATAACCTACCCTCCCATTGAGCTGATATTAAGAATGTGTGAGATAAAGAGAAATGAGGATGGATACCTATCAAAGCAAAAACTTGGGCAATGTGTAATGGTTCATGTCTTCTTTATGCTTAGCATCCTCAACGAGTCAATGTATTAGAATCAACTGATAAAAAAACAGCACCCTCTGCTGGAAGGCATGATTGTGTTTGTGTAGTGCTATACACCAGGCTGCTGGTTTTGATATAAGAATTATAAAGCACAATCTACCGATAGTGTTCAGTGACCCCATGATCACCTTTTCATCCCTTCTGGCCACATGATCTGAAACAGCCTTGTCTGCACCAAAAACATCTGAACAACTGTCCTTGAGCAATTTTACCTAGCTGAGCCCCCTTGATCTTCTTCCTACATTAAAGCAGACATTGCATGAATAATAAGGAATGGGTACCTGTTCTTGTCCCACCCCTGGTGTTGGCCATGCTTTTGGTCTGATGTTTACAGACTGTTAGCAAGATTGTCTGCATGGAAAAGAGCCTTTGGATGAGTGGCTTCTGAGCAAGAAGGCTTCCATGCCTTCAGGACACTTTGCACTGCTCATGCAGAAGCTTTCTTCCTGCAGATGGCCATGCTAATGTGCGGTGATGATGGATGGAGTGGTGCAGCATCCGTGTGGCGACATCAGTGGCACCTGGTGTTCACTGTAGCCAATGGGGCAGAGGATGGATCTACAAAAGGCAGACCATGGAGGTTATGAGAGACATAGGAATGTTTCAAGACAGCAATGTGGAATCAATAAACAGAAGCAGGAGAACTTTTAAGAGCACAAGTTGGCCAGCCATCTTGCACAGGAGCTTTTACAGGCACGTCATGTTGAAAATAAGAGGCTTTTTATAAGATTCTGCAGCACTCTTAAGGAGAAAGATCCATGCAGAAAAACATGTATGTGTTGTGCGGCAGTGAGCTTGCGCACCCTTTTAAAGGGCATGCCTAGCTGGCTGCTGCTGTGCACAGATTTTTGATGGTAATGGTCAAAGTGTTCCCACTTGCTTTGGCTTCATTTTCATCAGAGCTTATCCTTAAAACGTGTTTTTAATACCAGAAGAGCGTTCTGAATCCAATAAGGTTACAAATATCTGCAAAGAATCTTTCTTACATTCAAATAAGTTGGTGGGGGGAGGATGAAGGACTATGAAGCCCCCATTCCCTGCCTGTGGTTGAGTCTGATGCATATGTGGCCCAGTCTGAGCTGCTAAATTCACTGTTCCCAGTTCAGTGGAAAAGGAGCAAACTGGTTTAACCCCTCACACTGTAGCTTCATTTCTTTTTCTTCACATCCTGCTGCTTAGTCTGACCTCCAAAGCCCTGTTTGTAGTCAATTTCCTCCCCACAGAGAAATGGAACTGTTTCCATCACTTCCAGAACTTTGGCACTGTGTTTCCTAACAAAAATACAATGAAAGGAGAAAGAGGAAACAAGAGAAATGGGTTAGGGGAATTCTTATTTGTTGCTGGTTCTTTACTGAGGACAGTAATCCCCCCCCCCCGCAATTTGACACAACTGATTCATTCTTATAAGATATTTGCTACAGATTCAGTGAGAGTTTAGAAATATGGCTGCCAATTTTCAATGATGAGTAAAATAGGCCTCATTGAAGAGGTTATGTGAGTGCTCTTACTGATGTCAAATGTGCTTAGCTTCTGGGATCTTGATTGAGAACTCAGTACTACTATTGAAAAAAACAATGTATGCATTTATTTTTCTGTAAGAATGGCTAGTTTTGCAGCATTCCGCTACAGGGGAGTTTTTTTTTTAATGAGAACACATACATGCCATTTCACAAGAGCTACAGAATCAGGCAATGCCATTTTTATGGTGTCTCTAAGTGGTTACTATGGAGCTTGTGTTTCTCTCCATGGAATTTTTACCGAGCTGATCTTCTAACACCTGGTTAGGATCATATTGAGCTAACAAAAGGGAAAGAATAAAAGGATAAAAGACCTCCTCTGGATGGTGTCTCTGAGGATATAACTATTCATTCTAGTAGTTCAGAATGGAGCTGCCTGAGCCTAGAAACAGGTCCAGGTGAAACAAATTAAGGTTCCTCAACGTAAACATATTTTATTATTTATTTATATTGAAATAAAGTGCTCCGAATTCAATTACCACCTGAAAAATTTTGAACTGAAACAGGTAGAGACCATGGGAAATAATTCTTTGTACTTTTTCATATAGAATTGAATTAAACAATTTAATGGACGTTTAAGGTCTTGACCATGATGAGTAAGCACAAGCTGGTCTCAGGTGAAACATTGCTTGTAACATAAATGAATTTATAGTTCAACACTTTTTGTGCCAATAAATGATGTTGGCATTGCATGAGAAATCACTTACAATAGCATCACAAAATTTATGGAGTCGGCAGTGTCACTGTGGATACTGTCCTGTGGAATTTCCAGGTACAGAGGCTATACGAGTACCACTGAATACAAGTTGATAGGGAATAATAGCAGCATGAGAGCATGATTGATTTTATGGCCTGTTTGTTGGCTGCCTTGAAGTACCTAAGCACAAAGTTGGACTAGAGAGAACACTGATCTACCAGAGATCTTTTCATTATCTTTTCACTAAAGAAATTTAGTTTTGCATCCCACTCTCCAACATTTTAAAACCAGTGCTTGAGTAGATCTTTGCCCTTTCATCTGTCAAAACTTCAGATTATCCAAATTCTTAACGTGATTCTCATTACCATGTCTTATCAATCAGAGCCACCATCCAAAGTAAATGGAATAATGTGCTGAAGGAAGCTCTAGATAAGTACATATTTCCCAGATGCTTTGCTGCAAAGGAGTAGTGTAGCTAAGCCTGAGCAATAGTATTACTGTGGAAACATCGTAATACCATTTGCAAAAACAGTTAATATCACTTTTCAATATGTTATTTACAAAGCCAGTGTATGCAAAAAGAACGTGAAGGGGCATACATCCAGAAATCTCATTTAATTGAAACATATATGTTTCCCAAATGCTGCTTTCCAAACTTGAGAAAACATCTCCTATAGAATGGGAATACTACAAAGCAGTCATGGGAAGATGAAAGGCTTTTGTGGTTTTAAAAAATGAAAAAGATGGAAAGGAATCAGTGCATGTCACTACAGTAAGCCTCATGTCCCCACAAAGCCATGCCAAAGATTCAAAATACCCTTCCTCTCCCAAATTATGGAAATACCTAGATTGATTTGCAGCTTGCAAATGAGAATGGGAAATGGGGCAGCTGACCCTATCTCAAATATTCACTCACATGAACTAATATGAAATGACATCATCATCATCATCATCATCATCATCATCATCATCATCATCATCCCTATACCACCCCACAGCCAAAACTCTCTAGGCAGTTTACAGCAATCAACTATATAATATAGTCCACTTAGCTATATCAACATGGTCACTCACCAGTCGTTCCAAGGCTTCCCTTTTCCCAGCTAAGTAAATGATGG